TGACTCAGGAATGCATAGGGAGAGCTGTCGCATTTAGTCTTCACAATAACTCTATGAAGTAGCTTAAGCTGTAAGACAGCAACTTGCTGAAGGACACTCAGCCAGTTTCGACACTGAGTGAAGATTAGTATGTGGCGCTCCGCATATTTGTCTTGTACTCCAGCAACTACTGACTCTTTTAGTATAAATTAATTTTATTATGCTCTAGCTGTAGGTCAGTATTTAGAACTAATTTACTTTGTTCCACAATGAAGATCTTCTACAAACTGTATTCTCTGTTTCTGCATATTATTAAGTGTGCATAATTGCAATATATTGTCACTACAACAGAGCAAACAAAGCATCCCATATGATTTTCTTCCTTTCCCAGTTAGTGTAGTGGCTATAAGCTGCTGTGGGGCTATATATTTTGAAATGTGGGTTCTAAATCATTTGTTGAATGATATTTAGGCTTTAGCAATGTCCATGGTACTTGCTCTTAATTTATTTACATTGTCTAGGCTACCTATCCTCGACCAAGCACTGCACCAGGGAACATACAGCATCCAGTTCGACTGCAACCACTTTTCAGCAATGCCATGACAGAACCAAACCTCAAGACTGCATCAAGTTCCAGACCAAAGTTCTCAACATGTGAAAAAGCGCATCATTTTGCCAGTGGGGTTAGATTTTGCTGTTTTATAAAAGCACTATGGTAGAAAGAATTATTATCAAATATATTCGGTATAGTGAAACACATCTAATTACCCATTATGCTTTCTCCCCCTGGACAACTGTAACCAAAGAACTCTGGAGGAAATTGTCATGGATGTTACGTAGGTTGAGCTATTAGATGACTAGCATCATATTTTAACTCTGTGTTGACTAATGTTTAGGCAGAAAGTCCTGTCATACTTGTGGGGTTTGTACCAGGACTGCTGTGGATGCAATGGCCCACTAGGTTTCACCTTACCAGGGTTTTTTTTTCCTTTAAAAAAACAACAGGCTTTTAATTTGTCACATGAGTGTTCCTGTTTAAGAAATAGGTGCTTGTTTCTATAATTGGAAAACAATTGGTAAAAAATTAATCCCCCTTTCATTAGTAGACAGTGACTACGGGAAGATGTTTCAAAAGGATAGAAGGCAACTTAAAGCAGGGGGTGGCAAACTGATTTAGCGGGGTGGGGGGGTGGGAATTCTACTGGGCAAAGTTGTAGCTTCTCTTCCATGAAAGTTATCCAAGCGGAGTGGGGTGTCATTTGGAAGTGCTGTGGCCCCACATAGGGATAGTAGCTAACTACAATCCTGATTTTTACCCAAGCTTTAAACTACAGTTCAAGTATGTGAGAATAGTGTTTGCAGATCTGCACTTTCTCTGTGTTTTAAGTTTTGTCAAAATTCATTCAAATGTTTGACTTTTTTCCTGTCACTTTTTGGAAATTAAATTTAATTTAGCACCTCATACCAAGGAGGCTAAAGGTCTCCTCTTTTCCAGCATTATCAAAAATCCAGTACTAGAACATCTCCTCAGTGCTTATGTTTCATGTGCTTTTAACAATTGCTTAGAGGGATGCTTCTCACACAAAGTCAGTTTTAGTCAGAGCGTTCCCCCTCAGGAATGGACTGGAGCAAGCCAAGCTGAGCAGCCCCTGCAGTGCTATGAGCCAGTGCTGCAAGGTCTGCTTAGCTCAGTGGTACCAACCATCCATGGGTTCACCTGTTGATTCCTAGCAGCAATGCAAAAGGAAACAATTGGTGAGCAGACACCAACTACCATTGCTGAGGAAGGGTATGAGCCAAGTGGCCCCTGAGGAATTGGTAAGGTTGCTGAGGCTTGTCTTGTTATTTGCCCCCAGTGGCCCTCTAGGGAAAATTCCCTGTAAGTTAAAGGACCAGTCTGCTCCCCCCCACATTGTTCAGTTCTAAATATAAGCCTTTCTTTCCTAGTGGAATATTCTGTTTGTAACAGAACTAGGAATTCTTGAAGAAGATCCAAGTCTGGAGTAATTATTCATATTAAGCAAAATTGCTTAATTTTTCTTAGTTTCCACTTAGTTTCATGTAAGGTTTGCCATTTTCCATACTCTGTCATTTTCCTAGTGATTGGAAGTAGCAAAAGGGACATGAGAGGCATTGAAACCCATCTTCTGTTCACTGTACGAAATCATAGTCAGCTGTCCCTCTGACACTTCACCATGGAGTGCCCACACAATCATGTGGACTAGAAACTTACTTTAACAAAAGAAGAATGCTAAGGTGGTCAGGAAACTAAATTCTGCATGCAGTCTCATATTTTATACCTTTTTTGGCACTCGTGTAGAGTCAGGTCATGCATATGAGTGTGACTTGGTATTTATGAACCAACCTTCGTAGTCCTAACTTTTGCTTTTGGGTGCAACTTGAATCGTGAAACAAAAAACAACGTTGGAAAGTCATTATTTATCAAAGTGATTTAAAACATATATACTTTAAGAGTACTTTAACTTTAAAGTACTTTTAAGAAAATTTAAGAGTACGCTTTGTGAGCCTGCTTGGTAATGAGCCACTACGAATTGGCTGTGATGGTTCAGATTCATGACTAGAGCACAGATGGACATTCTCAAAGACAATCATTACTACTGCTGTAATTAGTGGTGGTAAATTCATGTACTATTCAACAACAAATGTGTTTTCTTTATCTATACCATGTTACTCCCAGAAAACACACTGTAAAATGTGAAGGGGAAATGTTTTTGTAAATACTTGGGAAGATTGGTCACAGTTCCTTGGAATGTTGCCCTCTACATAGTGTTTACCATTATTCTCCGTAAGTGTGAACTGATCTCATGGAAAGCAATCTCATAAAATTAAGGAACACACACAAAAAAAATCAAATCCTACAGACCGGTCAACACCAGTGGAAAGATTGACCCAATAATGGGTTTGTGGGAAACGGGTTATTTCCAGGCTCTTGAAGATAATAAGACACTGGACTAATCATGGCCTCCCTGCTTAACTCCAGGTATACACAAGATCAAAGTATACTTGCAGTCTCTGGAATATGTTTTTAAACCTCCGTCTGTACAAGAAATTACTAAGTAGTTTGTGAATCTCATTCCAGCACCATGAATTCATTGAAAAAGTTGAAAAGCCATCTTTTAAAGACTTGTTAAGAATATTGATTGCGAGTTAATAAGGAGTGGTTAAAGGTGCTAAAGTGTAAAGCAATAGTACAAAATAAGAATTTGCACTTTACAGCAGACCAGAAATTCACAGGTGACTCTTAACCTACATACATGCACACACAAAAGTCCCAATTACTGGAAAATTCTAATCAAACAAAAGTATCTACAACTACTGTTAAAGCTCAATTATATGTTACATTTTCTATCTTATTTATTTTAACCCCCTCCCCCCTTTTAAAAAAACAAATGCAGTCTCTGGAATTGCTTTATTGGGTAGGTGTAGGGAGAAAAGAAAATTAACTGTTTCCTTTCCTGCAGTTTTCTTGCTGGAAAGCGTACCCACCCCCAAGTTGCCTTTATTCCTGCCAGATATATAGATATCTGTATTTTTTCCTCTGTGGAGGTAAAAGAAGTTTATGGATGGTCTTTTCCATGGACTAAATTGGCAAGGGAGGAAAACTTTCCCTTTTCTTATGACATCATTCTCTTCCTTAATAAAGCAATCCTGGATACTGCATTTGCGCAAAAAAAGAGTAATCTATGTCATAAACATATAATGTAAATATAGACGAGACTGTAATGTGTACTTATCATTACAGTATGATTATTGCCTAGGTATGACTTTTAACTATTGATAAACATGATTTCAGGGAGAGAAAGGTTTGTTAAGACCAACGTATTCAATGGACTATTCAACTGGAATATCCCCATACCAGCTTCCCATCATTAACAATTATGTGATACCTGTACCACCTCCACCCCCCAAACGTGAGAAGAATATCAGTGTGATGAAATTTGGAACATCAAGAGGTCGACGATACCGTCCAACAACTGCACCAAATGTCTTGGAGCAATCATTAATGAAGGTAATAGGTCTTTTCCTTCCCAATATAGCTATGTTTTCGTCCTACATGGGTAATTTCTTAATACACTTGGCTAAGTATATAAAGAAATTAAATATTTGTTTTTGTTAAGAAGAGGGGAGAAAGCCCTTAACTAGTATGCAGTTCACTTCCTTTAAAGTGTGCTTTGAATCTCATTCAGATTCTGTTTTACTTTAGATTCTCAATATTATACTCCCTAAACAAATTGAAATGTGATTCTGAGAACAGTGACTGTCCTTGGGAGTCTACATGCAGTTGGAAAAGATGTTTTAACTCAGGAAGTGTGAAGCACAGTAAAATAACTAATCCTCACACATGCACTGCTGGTCTTGTTCGGTGGATCAGTATTTCATTTCCATAATACTGGACTACTGAAAACAATTGTTGGCATATGATTTGTTGTGGCTAACAGACTTTGTTCTTCAATTCTGGGGCTGTAAATTTAGTAAAAATACAAGAGATGGAGCATTACCCATGGATCTTCCTGTAAGTCAAACCCAGCTGTCTTACAGTTAGAAGACTGCATTATATCATGCAGGTTTCCTCCATTCCACCATACATCTACAGCTCTTTGCTAAGCATCCCCCCCAGTTTGTTGGCTAATTTGTACCATGAGATCTTCTGCTAAAATGACCAGGTATGACTTTGGTAACTTGATGTCTAATTCTATATGCTGGATCCCCTGATCATTTTTCAGTGGTACAAAGGCATTTCTGCTGTCAGAGGAGAGAGGTTGGGTTTTGCCAATTCCCCCATTGCAGACCCCACATCATGCCCAGCACTGTTCCTGGGGAAGTCCCCTCAGTCCTGGGGACAGCAGTTCAGGAAGTGTGTGAAGCAATGGCAGGAGGGAGGAGGTAGGAAATCTTCATTTGGATCTGGCGTTGTATAATAAAAAATGTAAGTGCAATATGAAAGAGACTCGGACAAAATTAATTTCTCCCCAATTTCATATACAGTAGGAAAGTTCGAAGTAGAATACCACCAATGCTCCCTCTAAGCTGTGGAGTCTTGTGAGCAAAAATTTCTACTTTGTGACCTCCTGGCATTAAAGTTGTGAGCGAGCGATTTGGCTACTGCATAAATAAGTTTGCTCTGGAGCCATCCTTCCTGAGCTAAGATGAAAATGTGTGAACCGGAGGCTAAAAAACGGTGAACTAGCTCACACTAACTCGGTTTAGAGGGAACACTGAATACCCCCACACTTTTCAGTTAGCAAACATTTATTTAGCCAAAGCCAGCCCGGGTTAGTTTAAGGGCATTGTCATTGGGCCCTTACTATATGGAACACACGGCAAGATGGTGGATGACTGATTTGGATTTTAGCAGAACAATTGCCCATGCTTAACCTCCTGTTATTTGTAGCTTTGCTACATGTTCTACCTGTCTGGTCTCTCTGTCACATTTTTATCTGGCCCTTACTTGAAGGAGATCAGAAATATACACATTTTTCCTTTCTTCTGTTTTAGCATGTGATTGTTGCATGCTGGCCACGCAGACTGGTCTTTTAATAGCACAATGCAGACCCAAAGTTTAGTGATACAAAAATGGATTCCTGTGCTCTTTGATGCAGGACACAGGCAAGTTCTACAAGCCTCAAGTACACACCAATGCATATGTTACCATGATCTATTTGGGGAAAAATGTGCATCTGTGCCATGACCTTTTTGATTGCCGCGATGAAATAAAAATATATCAACAGCACTGTGGAGGAGAAAATGTTTGTGTGTACAAAGGCAAAGTGCTAGAGGGAGGTGAGCATGAAAAAGCCCAATTTCATTTTAATTCTGGCAAACTCTTTTTTTATATGGATAAACTGTTGAAGTGGCAGCAAAATTATTTTTGTGAAGCTCAGTCTCGTTATGTGTGTCCAGGGACTTATATACCAGCTGCCTCAAACTAAGTCTAGTTTTACTGTTCCATGATTGAAAATGAGGCTGCAATTACTTTTGCAAATTATGGGGAAAGGGTTGTACAGCAGTGATTTAACAAAATACTATGGGTTAGATTAATTTTGGGATGGAGATGTATGGTTAATAAAATGCTTGCTGGGGTAAAATGAATACCAAATTATCTGCTTACACAAAGCTGTAATATATCAGTGTGAGATGTTTATTGCTCCAGAAGGGAAATGAATACACACTTGAGGCTTGATTCAGAATCTGCATCAATGGGGACTCTGTTGACTTAAGCAGAGCTGTTTCAGGTGTAATCACAAATGCAACCTGGGGAAGAATACTATGCTAGGTAGAATTAATATCATGCTATTGCGCTGAGGATGAGTTTCTATTCCATTAGTATTTGACATTTATTTAGCTCCTTCCTGTGCTTGATGCTGTACACAGAATAACTATGTTGTGTTCCATGTCAAGAAGTTAAGAGTCCACAGTAGATGGAGAAGACAAGAATTTGGGAAAAGGCCAAGATTAATGGGTAAAGGAGAATCAGTTGACAGTGAAGAAGCAGTCGAAGATGATATGGGGGCTTTCCACAAAAACTGGGGTTAAAGAAAGGTCTTGAAGGAGAAGGTAGCAGTGGCCTGGTTAATGGAGAAGGCTTTGTGTATATCCAAAGGTGTATGGCAGAGGAGTAGAAATAGTGAGCTAGGACCCCATGGATTTGTTCTCCCAGAAGAATCTCTTGCATCTGGGCAAGGATCCTTGTACTAGAGAAAAGCACCATTGCTAGAAGAATGGATCCATGGGATCCAGCTTACTATGGAAACTTTTTCCAATACAAAGAGCCTTTGTATTCCATTGTATTCCATGTTTCTACTAAAAATATCTAAAGCAGTTAAAGAAAATCTTTTAAAAAGTTTATCAACCCAAATAGAATATAAAATACAGTATTAAAAACATAACACTGTCTCATGTTTAAAAAAGCATCAGATGATAAACACAATTTTGAATCATAAAATCAAAGCTTAAATGGCGAAAAACTGAGAAGCCAGAAGCCAGAGAATAAAAAGTAGCAGCCATCATGCACAATGCAGAGAAAAAAAAATCATTGATATGGCAATATATTGAAATGAACAACAGTTATTAATTTGTAATATAATGAATGAAGTGCTTTACAGTTATGACCTCCTTCATCTCCACAACTAAACAAATGAAATGGGTTACCATTTAATAATAATGTACTGTTGAGAAACTGTTCATTTGATGAATTTATGGCCTCTTAGGTCTTTCTTTGCCTATTGGGCAAAACTGGCTGCCTTGGTTTTACTTCTAGACCAGTGTTTCTCAAACCTTATGAACTTGGTTCCTCTTCCTAACTTACAAGTATTTATTACTGTACAGCTCTTTCTGTTGTGAAGCAATTTGTTCGATGTGGGAGTGGGCTTGGAGTGGCCTGAAACATGAAGAAAACTTTGTTGTACATTTATTTCCATACTGAAAATTAGGAATTGAATGTTCAAATGTTGCCCCACATAAAAACCTCCCAGAATTTTGAATGCCATTGCATCAGGGAGATGGTTTAATGCTAGTCTTCTCTCTAATGGACTACCTTCAACATACAAAGTCTTTGATGTAGAAGACTGCACAAACATACCACTTCCCACCTGTCTGTAGAAGGGCAGCTCCAGGAATAGTGTGCCACTTGCTTTTTATACATGCATTAGCTGGCTCTTAACACTGTTTAAATGAAGTCAGATAGCAATAACCATTTCATTTTCTCCAATTCCAGATACTTTCCACTTTACCTCCAAGCGGCACCATGGTTTTCCCTTTAGCCTCACTTTTTATCTCAACGGTATGCAAGTGGGCCGGTTAAGTTCTTGCTGCGAATACAAGCATCAGAAGGGTACTCGGCTAGGAGGCAAGCACGGACACTTTGGTTTTGTCAATGTGGAAAGATCATCTCCTTGTTACAAGTATGGCTAATTGGCTGTTGTTTATTTAATTCTGTTGGGACCTTAACACTACTTAAAGCAGACACTGAAGTGAAACATCTCTCTAATTTAATTAAACAGAAGTCCAGAAGCACCTGAAAGACTAGTTAAATGTATTCTTAGCATACGTTTACGTGAGTTCTGATTTCATCAGTTGCAGTCTTTTGAGTTTGCCACCAAACTATTATTTCAGGACATTGTGGCTTTTCAGGTATCAGTGTGCCAACTTGGATATTGTTGATTTCAAATTCCATAAGAATAACTATGCTTTTCTTTTATAGCAGTGAATCCCATGCCATAAGCTTTTGGGGGCCAGAGTTCATTTCATTCATTGCCTATAGCACTATGCTTCTAACAGAATGAGCTGTGACTCACCAGATCTCATACTGCAATATACTAGTCAGCCTTTAAGGGCTTCTGAACTTTTTATTGTTTTGCTGCAGAAGAATAATACAGCTATCCCTCTGGATAACTGTAGCAATTTGTAGCTGTTCTTTTCTGACATGAATTCTAGTACATGACAGCCAACTTCTTAAGATGCGTGAAGTAGGCTGAAAGTTTAATGTAGGAATGCTCATTCAGATATTCTTTATGAATGGCCAGGGTCCAGCCTACCTAAGGGACCGCCTCTTCCCGTATGTTCCCCCAAGAGCGCTGCGATTGGGGAGTCTCAATCTCCTTGAGGTTCCGGGCCCCCGAGACATCAAGCTTGCCCTAACCAAGGCCAGGGCGTTTTCGGTGGCGGCTCCTACCTGGTGGAATGAGCTCCCGGCGAGATCCGGGCCCTGCGGGACCTTGTACAGTTCCACAGGGCCTGCAAGACGGAGCTCTTCTTCCAGGCTTTCGAGTAGGAGCTGCCGCCGCCACTATACCACCTTCGTAACTCGACCCTATCATCTACCCTGTTTCTGGGAGGGGGGTAGATGTCGCCCAGTTGAGAAACATCACTCCTGGCGCTCACGCTACTATAACACCGGCCGCCAGTGAGGGACATTGTGCATCTTGGGAAATTTAGTGAACTGTAGAGCACCATTTTAGCTTGTATGTATTAATGTTTTAATGTATTTTATATTTTATTCCGGCGTTGCTGCTTGTTCGCCGCCCTGGGCCACTTGGGTAGGGCGGGATATAAATCACAAGTTAATTTTTAAAAAAATTATTATTATATTTTTATCCCGCCCTCCTCGCGAATGGGCTCAGGGTGGCTAACAAACAAGGGCACCATGTGCCAAGTATAAAACATTAAAATGCATAAAATCAACCATTTTATCAAAATTAAAGTGCTCAGTGATTCTTCAATTCTTGAATTGAAATTACTCCTGAAATTCCCTGTTTCAGTTTAGGGATATCTGAACTGACCCCAAACCTTCTTGAAATTTGAGGAGTGATAAAATATTATCTAAATGTTTTGGGTTCAGGAGAGGCAGCAGGAGCAGCAAGGGAACAAGGGAGAGAGTGTGTGTCCCAGCTGGGCCATGGTGCCAATGCTGCTGTGGACCTTTAGACACACCTTAAAGTTTAAAGATCCCTGTGGTAGACTTTACCCCTAGATGCCTGGTCTATCACCCATTGGAGTCAATGGGTGGGAGATCTTATCTCCCAACTCAGAGGCTCAGGTCTAGTGCTGATTGGAATACATAGGCAGTGTACTGGGCCTCTTAGTCTGGGCACCAAGTCTATCACCATGGATCTTTAATTTTTAAAGGGTACACACATTTGGGTCAATATCTGTTTAAAGTAAATTTAACTAAATCAGAATGTATTGGATTTAACATGTCAGCATTAGTCAAGAACAATGTAGCTGAAATATGTTCTGTGCCATGGAGTGACCAACCAGTTAGATATTTGGGCATTTGGATGCTACAAGATCCTGATCTTTTGGTAGAATAGAATCATAATAAATTATTCAAAGAAATAGAAAAAGAGTTAATGTATTGGCTAACATTGCCAGTCTCTTTTTTGGGAAGAATCTGTACTGGAAAAATGAATGTGTTATTTTTATTAATTAATTAATTTACCTCTTCAAATAAAACCTTCTGTTCTTGCATTCTGTGAAAAGTTAATTTTTTAGGGGAACCACAAACCTCAGGGGCTACAGGGTAGTCAAATTGGCTATGAAGGAGTGGTTTGTGGAGGATAAAGATACAATAATTCTGGGATCTTCATTGGGAAAAGGCCTTAAGTTGAGAGACCAGATCTAGTAGTGAAAAAGAGGGCTGGAGCTCAAGAACTTCACCTCTAACTTCTGCTTTGTTCAACAATCAACTGCTTGATATGTTCTTATTAAATAATTTCAGTGTTTGGAGAAATGGTAAATTAGATATGTTATTAGATAATCACATTTTGCAATAAAAGGAAATTACATGTAAACTAGGGGGAATAAACCCGCAATTTTTCTAATAAGGCAAGTAGTTACTAGGGATGGGCACGTACCACAAAATGTGGTTTGGTTCGTGGCCAGACCATGAATTGAACCAGTTTGCTCTCTGATGAACCAGTTCAGTTTATGGGCCCAGCAAACTTCGTTTAAAAGGACTGCAGTCCTTTTAAACTTAGTTTTCAGAAAGTAGCAAAAACAGCTGAGCAACAGCAAAGCTGGGCCCAGCAGGAAGTGGGCCGGCCATGGGGAATGCCCAACCCATGCAGCCTCCTTCCCTGCTGGCACCATGTCTCCTGCCCTGGGATCCTGGGAAGGGCCCAGTTGCTGTACTGCTGCCGCAGCCCTTGTCCACAGTCATGCTGCTGCTGCACAGCTTGTTGTGGCTGTCTCCTCTACTGAACACCTCAGCTGGCCACTCCTTCTCCGCTGCTGGCCTCCTCCTCCATCGGCCTTCTGGGTGAGTTCCCAGTGGAAGGTCTGGGGGGCTGCTTCAGGTGATGGGGGTGAGTGCCTGGATGGGGGCTTCCCCTGTTGAAGCAGTGCCCTACCCTGGACAGGCTGCTCCCCATTTTCTAAAGGGACTGCACAAGAAAGCCCAAAATAGCTGAGTGGCAGGGAGCACTCACTTCTGCTCAGCTGTTTTTGCAGCTTTCTGCTGGAGCAGAAAGCAGGGGTTTAAAGGGACTCAGAACCCTGCTTTCTGTTCTGGCCAGGAACCAACACAAACCCTATGAACCGCCTTAAAAATTCATGGAAGTCCGTGATCATGGACCTTTCACGGACTTTGGTTCCTGAATCATAAACAGTGCAAAATTCATCACAAATTTTGTTTGGGGCTCGGCTCATGCCCATCCCTAGTAGTTATGGATTGCAACCAAAAACCACTATTGAGTCTATAGGCTAAAGGTAAAGGTTTCCCTTGCTCGAAAGTCAGTCGAGTCCGACTCTAGGGTTGCGGTGCTCATCTCCATTTCCAAGCCGAAGAGTCAGCGCTGTCCAAAGATGTTTCCGTGGTCATGTGGCCGGCATGACTAAATGCTAAGGCACATGGAACGCTGTTACCTTCCCACCAAAGTGGTACCTATATCTACTTGCAATTTCTTGCTTTCGAACTGCTAGGTTGGCAGGAGCTGGAACCAGAGACAGGAGCTCACTCCGTCATGCGGCACTCGGATCTCGAACTGCTGAACTACCGACCTTCCAGCCTGCAGTTCAGCGTTGTAACCACTTGAGCCATCACAGCTCCATTGAGTCTATAGTTATTGACAATTTCATTGCTAGTGGAATAATAACATAGGTTTTTCAATTGTAACTTAATTTTGATAGTACCCCTTTAAACTGAATGAATAAATAGAAGATTTATGAACTGGTTAGCACTTATAGGAATGAAAATGGATCTGGGGAAAATGTGACCTCAAAACTAATTTCAATGAGTTTGAAGGAAAATTTCTGTACAATGCTTTTACTGTGGTATCTTACACCTCACAAATTTGTGATTATATATAGACATTTATCACATGTGTGTTAGAGATATTGTTATGCCAACTTCTCCAGGAA